ATGGTGGCAGAGTTGCCTATATGCATTTACTTTATGGGATTTAATAAACTTAAAGAATGTGCAGAATCCTGAATGGTTCACTTATTAAAAGCTACTGAATTTTTTTAAAAAAATAAAACTGGCAGACATATATTCTAGGAATTTGACCTGGTTATTAAATCACAGACTTTGTTTACATGCTGTTATGGAAAAGGTTTTACTTACCATTTGTTCAAAGTCATTCTTTAAAGAAGAAATTAGTCATTAAGTCATAAGAAAACTAACAGCAGGAAAAGTTGAACTGATTGATTATAATCTCCTGGTAATGTAACTTCAACAATTTACTGATTTAAGATAGTTTTCTTCTATGTGCCAAAATCTTCTAAAATAATCTGTTACAACAATGCATACACACACTGCGTTTACTTTTTTCTGCCTTACTATGCTTGCAGAATTAAAATATGCAATTTAAAGCCAATGCAATGGGGTGTGCCTGTAGTCCCATCTACTTGGAAGACTGAGACAGGAGGATAACTTGAGGCCAGGAGTTCAAGACCAGCCTGGGCAGCATAGCAAGACTCTCTTTAAAAATAAATAAATAAAGTGCAATTTAAAATTTTAATATCCATTATGTTGCTAATTTTAGCTATTTTGGACAGAAATAAGTTTTCATTCACATTTGAAATTTTTAACAGTTTCTGTTTATACCCTTTGTCTGAGCTGACATCCACTTGAATGTGTCAAAAGCATCTCAAAAACTGTGTCCATCAAGGAAACTGCTACACTCCAAAATATCTACATATATGTAAGATTTTATGTAAAAGTGTGTATTGTTCATTCCTGTCATTTATAAACATTCTAAAATTGGAAACTCTAAATACTGAACATCAGGAAAATGGTGAATTCCATTCCATCGTATAATTATTTTTTCATCATTAAAATTATTTTGAAACTTAATGTCATGGAAAAATACTCATGATAATTATAAAAGGCACAATATAAATGGTCATGTGAAGCACAATGTCAGCTATACATATATGTCCATATGAAAAACACTGGAAAAAAAATGTGTATTATAAGAAAATATTCTGAGAGAAAATAGTACCAGTCATTGTCTTTGAGTGGTAAGATTGTTGATGATTTTAATTTTTTTCAGATATTCTACAATGAGCACATAATACCTTTGTTTATAATACCTTTATTTAAAGTATAAATTTTATCTTAATACTTGACTTCAAATTTTTTAAATGGCCTGTTGTTTTAGTTCACTTATACTATAGCATGTTGTAGTACCAAATAATTTCTAAATCGAAGTCACTTATAAAAACAAAGTTTATTTCCTAATCATCTAGATCGTGGGTCAGCAACAGTGATCTTGTTATTCTAAGAGTAGACTGAAGGAACAGTCTCAATCTGGGACATACTGCTCTCATGGGAAAGAGGAGAGAGAGAGATGCCAGGATCATTCAGTGGCTCTTGAAGGTTCTGTTCAAAAGTTACACAGTAACTTCCAATCACATTTTATTTGCTTAAGTAAGTCATATGGTCAGGCCTCACGTTATTGGGGCATGAATTATAGTCCTCTGGCAAGGTTTGGGGGACTGGTGGTAGTTAGCTCAGTAGAAAAGACATGAGAATTTGACAAATACCTATGTCATATCTGCTGATTTGGAATTTTTTAAATAAGCACCAAGTTATCAGGGCTGCCACGTAAAGTTGTGTAGCTTGTATACTGTACGGCTGTAATGGAGAGGCACCATTCACATAGTGCGAATGGCACAATGTAGAGTTTTGTTTTGTACAACTTGTCTATTCATATTCCGTGGCTCTGAAAATTATATGTCACAAGAAAGGTATATATATTTGGTATTCATTAAGACTAATTTTGCTAGTAATAAAATTTGCTTGTTTGGACTTAGTCTTACTATCTTAAGAATAAGAGCTGATATATTTACATTCCACATATATGTGTGAATCACTGTCTAGAATTACATACCTGCTATCAGTTGATACTTTAAATGATAATTCTCAGTGGATCTTAATTTCCTTGAGGTCATAAATTAAATATATATGGCATTAGTGAATTACTCATTTAGCAGTTTTTTTATTGATAAGTTAAATTTGCATATTTAAAGAACACTGAAATCTAAGTTATAAATAGTGCATGGAAACAAAATACAAGTAATCACTGCTGTTGCTTTTGCAGAAATGTGTCATACACTCTAAGTTCTGTGCTTTCCAGAGTAAAGATCAGAAAGAAAATAGAATAAAGAAGAATTATATATTCTTTGAAAATGGTTTTGTGAATACCATTTTTATTGATAAATAGAACAAAAGTTTTTCTGCATTTTTTAATTTTAGGTTTGCTTGTTGAAAGCAACCATCAGGTACTCTTTATTCTAAATGACGATTATATGTATTATGTTTATAAAGTTTATATTTTCTAAAACTACTAAAGGGAAACTGTTAATTTTTTCATACTGATAGCTGGGAGAAAAGACTTGTTGTCTTAAATGAAAATACTATATACATCCCAGTAATGTATCTTAGAAATTTGCTGTTCATTTCATTGGAGGCTGACATTGCTTGCTTTTTATAACGTTTTCTTCTAGAAATAGAGTGAAACTTTGTATAGTGTGTAGTCAAAACTTCTATGAATAAGAATTTCTGTGTGGGCTTAGAAGTACATTTTGAGGGCTAGGTATGGTGGCTCACGCCTATAATATTAGTACTTTAGGAGGCTGAGGCAGGTGGATCACATGAGGCCAGGAGTTCAAGACCAGCCAGGCCAACATGGTGAAACCCCATTGCTACTAAAACTACAAAAATTAGCTGGGCATGGTGGTGAACACCCGTTATCCCAACTACTTAGGTGGCTGAGGCACAAGAATCACTTGAACCAGGGAGGCAGAGGTTACAGTGAGCCAAGATTGCACCTGCACTCCAGCCTGGGCAACAGACTCTGTCTCACCAAAAAAAAAAAAAGTACCTTTTGGTCCAATAATAGTAGTTTTTATTGCATTTTTATTTTAGTAGATACTGTTAAATGACTCCCCAGAAAGTCATCTAATGCACCTGTCAACTCTTGATATTAATGATCTCCTTAATTTTTGTCATTCTGCTAGGATGTGGCATCTTATGGATATTGAATTCCCATATTTATTATCCATATAAATTTTGTTTTTTTCTTTTTCTCTGAATTCCCTGTTAATAGTCTTGACCAACTTTTCTGTTGGGTTCTTTGTTGTTTCTTCTGTCACTACATCTAATCTAGTCACCAGTGATTTCTCATTGCCAAAATCAATATACTTATTTATTATGCTTAATCTTTTCTCCTTTGAATCTGTCCCCTTCATTGCCATCCATAACAACACTTCGCTTCTGATTTTTTTCTACTTCTCAGGCGACGTTTCCTTTAGTGGGTTTTTTGTGCTACCACTCTCAACCCTCCCTTCTTCACAATACGTCCTGTGGTCTTTGTGATCATAGTTTTGATTTCTATTGGAGACATTGCCAATACTACTGTGTTTGTGCTCCTTCACAATTCAAGGAAAGACTGAATCTTGGTTATAGGTTAGTGAAAATAAAGACATTTTTCCCCCTTTGAGGTTCACCAAGTCTAAATTGTATCTATCTTCTTAAGTCTTTAGAGCCCGGAATAAATACCATTGCAAGACCTTCGTTTTCTACCATCCGCATGTCTCCTCCCCACTGCAGTCATCATAATTATGTTTGCTTGAACACTAGCCATGTGCTAGACACAATCCTAGGTACTTATTGTACATTGTCTTCTTCAATCCTGCTGTCTCCATTCTAGAGATTTGATTTGGCTTAAGATTAGTCTTGCCCCAAATCATAAAGCTAGTAAGTGTGGAAGCTGAATCCAAACTCATGTTGTCTTTTGACTCAAGAGCCTGTGTTCTTAATTATCATGCCATAAGGTTTTATTTTATCCCAATTCACTGTTTTCTCCACCATCCGCCACCAAATTCAATTCCTTGCTTGCCAGCACCACCTTCCATGGAAACCAAAAAACTGAAAATCATCATAGATTCTTCCTTTACATGTAATCCATCACCAAAATTTTCAGTTTATTCTCCTAAAGGTTTCTCAAGCCACTGCTCTACCTCCTCCCCACAGTAAGACTGCCACTGCCATATACTTAGTTAAACTTCCTTTGTCATGTCTTGGATATATTTATCTGTTGGTCACCTAATTATTCTGCTTCCATTTTGTGTTCCTTTTATCCACATCCCTCCCCAAATAAACATTCTCATTTAAATATCTAATTTTCAAATTTCCTATTGAAAATTTCTTAGTAACTCTACGTCATCAAAAAGATAAAATTCAATTTCCTATACTGACACAAATTTCTTTTAATAAATGATTATATCCAGTCTTTTCTCTTACTACTTTTCTATAATTTGTATTTTAATTACACCTTAGCGACCTTTACCCCTGTACTCTTGCACTTGCTAGAATCTCTCTTCCTTACCTCTTGGCAAACTTATTCTTCAACCACAGACTCAATTCAAGTATTATCTCTGTAAAGCATTTCTAATTCCCTACTCCCTCCTTCTCATGTGATATTAAATTCATTCCCCCTAAGTTGTAGATGTCTCAACTATAAAATAGTACTAACAACATCTGTCCTACAGGGGTTGTTAGGAAGAATCAAAAGAAATAACAAATGTAAAATAACTAGTTCAGTGTCTTCACATAGTAGCTACTCAAATATTGATTCTTTTATCTTCCTCTTTCATGTGTCCCCGTGAATAATCAAGCTGTAATTGTATATCTGCATCCTACCCTGAACTTTAAGATCCTTCGGACTGGAGGTTTGTTTTTCATTTATAACCAATGCCTGTTTCGGTACCTAATCCATAGCTATTCAATGAGTTCTTTTGGAAGAATCTAATTTTATGACTAGATATTCAGTAACTAGCCTAGTAGAATGAAGCAAATTGCTCTTATTAGTGATTCCGGTTTGTTTGATTTGTTTGTTTGTTTCCTTTCTTTAGTGGTGATGAGTTCCTGAACTTTCTTCTCAAATTAAACAAACAGTGTGGCCATTTAATAACAGCTGTACAGAATATTATTACTGAGTTACCTGTAAATTCTCAAAAGGTATTCTATAAAAGTTATTAAGTGAAGAAAAGTATGAACACTGAAGAACATTCCAGATAAGTTCATAATTCAATAATTAGTACTGATTTGGTAAAATTATATCATTTGCTCTGCAAATCGCATAAGATCTAAGTAAGTCAATTTGTTTAATATTACTCCTTTACATACTAATCTTAAAATTTTGTATTCTTGCCCTCAAGAAAAGTAAAATGAGTCAGACCAAAATTAAACTGATCCATGTATTGAACTTACCATGTATGTGTTCTTAAAAAGGATTTAACTGTTTAAAATATAAAGTGACAGGAGACCCAAGTGAAAATGGAAACAACATTGTGTGTTATTTAAAACTGTATCAATAAAAGATTTTTTAATAAAGGAAATTTAGAATAGGAAGACCGTAAATGGCCAGGCATGGTGGCTCACATTTGTAATCCCAAAACTTTGGGAGGCCCAGGTGGAAGAATCGCTTGAGGCCATGAGTTTGAGACCAGCCTTGGCAACATGGTGAGACCCTGCCTCTACAAAGAATTTTTAAATTAGCTGCGAATGATGGCATGTGCCTCTAGTGCTAGCTGAAAAGTAGCTGGGCATGATGGCATGCACCTGTGGTCCTAGCCAGTCAGGAGGCTGAGGTGGGAGGATCATTTGAGTCCAAGAGGTTGAGGCAGTAGTGAGCCAGGATTGTACCACTGCACTCCAGCCTGGCCGATGGAATGAGACACTGTTTCCAAAGAAAGAAAGAAAAAGTGTAAGTGGCCTGCAAAAGCAACTTACTTCATGTGATTAGCTTTTAGCTGTTTTAGTGAGAATTTTAAAGGCACTTGTTTTCCAGTGATTTTTATATAACATTAATTAATGTGGGAATCATGTCGTTTTTAAAACCTTCATGAACTGATTTGTTCATCATAAATATTATTTGTTCATCATAAATATTAATCTCCATATAGAAAGTTATATATACATATATTCAGGAAATGCATTTGGCAAGCTCATTTGATTATTTTATAAAATTACTTATTTTTGGTGTCAATATCCTAAAAAAAATGCTTTTCAATGATAAAATTTAATATTTAAGAGTGTTATATAATCTTTTTGGATGTAAAGTTGTGAAAAGTTGCTTCCATTCTTTAATGTGGGATTTTTGAAAATATTAACAGATAGCACTGGAATGGGCTTCTCCCCAGAATTTTACTTCAGTTTGTGAAGAACTGGTTAATAATGTTGAAGATTTGAGTGAAGAGGTCTGCAACCTAAAAGACTTAATTCAGAAGGTACATATTTAACATTAAAAGCAGGGGGGAAACTAAGGGAAATGATTTACAGCAAAAGGTGTTAGACAATGAAGCAATTCTGGTAAGAGCAACAAATGGAACACTTAGACAAGTGGGAAAAAGACAGTTTCCAAAGGAAGAAATATACATAGGAAACAGACTTTGTTAGTCATTAAAGAAATACATACTAAAAGTAGAATATGTCATTTTATCTTTTCAATTATCAGAGAAAAATGTATTACCACCAATTTCTAGTTAGAGGTCACTAAACTTATATTCTTATGTGAGACTGGTAACACAAGCCCTTTCAAAAACAGTTTGGCAAGATGTGCCAACTACCATAAAAAATTTGTATATTTTGATAATATTTTGTCCCAAATTGTATGTGCCAAAGTATTCTCTATACTAGGAGAATAACTTAATAAATCGTGCTATACCTATTGTTATAATAATATGCAGTTGAAAAAATAATGAAAATTAAATATCAGCTGGTTAAAGATATGAAATTATATCTGTACATTATTACTTGTATGTAAATGTGCAGATAAAATAATATTAAAATGAAGTATTTATTGGTTCTGTTAAAGAGACAGGATTGTGGATGAAATACTTCTTTAATTTTCCAGACTCTCTGTAATATTTTTATAATTTAACTGTTTTCTAAAGAATATGGACTTTTTTGGTTCTGGTTTTTTACACATACAGAAAAAGTATATGTCTGTATTTAAGGACAGGTGATTTTTTTCACTTTAAGAGATTGGCTATAATAAAACCTAAGCTGTTGGAACAGGAACCTTACTTCTCAGCTCTTTATCTGTTTAATAAATAAATTTGATGTCTATAAAGCTTTTGTGAAATATTTCATTTGAAGGTTAGATTACACTACGTTATTTACATAGCTTCAACCCATAATTCATTTAATATTTTCATTAATATTTTATCAAAAAAGTTCTTTTCTTCAAAACAGACTTTATACATGTTCCAAGTATTAATAGTTTGTCATTCTAGCTATTAATGGGTTAAATCAAAAGGAGTCTTTTTTTCTTTTTTTGATACTGAGTCTCGCTCCATTGCCCAGGCTGGAGTGCAGTGGCATGATCTTGGCTCATTGCAACCTCTGCCTCCTGGATTCAAGCAATTCTCCTGCCTCAGACAGACTACCATCCTGTACCACCATGCCCAGCTAATTTTTTTGTTTTTAGTAGACATGGGGTTTCACCATGTTGGCTAGGCTGGCTTTGAACTCCTGACCTCAAGTGATCCACCCGCTTCAGCCTTCCAATGTGCTGAGATTACAGGTGTGTGTCATCACACCTGCCCCAAAAGGAGTCTTTTAAAGTGAGAAGAAAGTTGTGAAGCAAATTCTGTTATACAAAATAATAGCTGAGAAAGGACATTTTTAAATGAGGAAATGAGTACTGTTTCAGAAGTCTTATAGAAAATAATTTCTTTCCAAAGAAAGGGGCATCTTAGAAATTGTATTATCTCTGACATTTATTCTTTCAGCAAATGTAAGACTGCCTGCTATATGTCAGGCACCTGTGTTACACAAGCTACATCTTGAACTTACTGACAACCCAGAAAGTACAGCACCATTCATCATCACTACCTCCATCTCATCTAGAAGAATCAAAGGAATGAATTGATTTGACTTAAAAATGCTGTTTTTCATGGGGATCCCAGGGAGTTTGGAAGCATATGTAGAAAGATATTTCTTAGAAAACATCAACCTTTAGTGTAGGAAATTTCCTAAAACATATTTGCTTCAGGGTTGTTTACTAATTTGGTTTCTCTAAGATAAACTAAAAACATGGGAGTGAAGGGTAAGGGTATGTGTATAGGATTAAAATGAAATTAGAAAAACATATTTTTGTTAAATGAGTGAAATTAAGAAACTTTGCTATAGGGACTGACTCTAAAGCATAAACAATTCAACCAAGTACCACAATATTTATTTTAATAATACATACATGTTAAGAGATTTTCATTGTTCTTAGCTAAATAGAAGATCTTTTTCCTGTGACCCTTCTCTATTTAGAATTTGTGCATTTCTATATAAGAACTACCCTTGAACACATTTATTAGTTTATAATAATGGCAAATACAGTTATTTGGGCAAGAAAGTCTTAATTTTGGAGCAAGCTAGTGAGTGGGTTTTTCCAGATTAGTCTTATACAAGTAGTAATCATCATAATGAGATTTGATTTAGAGAATTATGAAGGCTTCCAGATTTGGAAATATGCTATCATGGCTGTTAAGCTTATATTATTTCAGAGATTTACCAATAATAATTGAAGGGAATCTTTTTTTAAAGAAAACATGAGTTATCATAGATAAGTGTATGGAGGTAACAGAAAGAGGGTGGGAGAGGTCAAGGCTAGACTTTAACACCACATCACTCTCTTTCAAGCCAGCACACTGACAGGCTCCTGTCAGAAAGGGTCATTCTAAGTAATTGGTTAGTAAAAGGAATGACTGTCTCAGGATTCAGTAAATGGAGCATCAGTGTCAAAAAGGAATCTGTTGCTGAATGAAGCCATTTGGAAGTTAGACCAAGAATATGGTATTAATGAGATTGGCGTTGGAGTCTGGTTTTCTGCTATAAATTTAAAATTAATTTTGCAAGCTTTTTAATTAAATATTTACACTGTAGAATTTGGAAGTCATTTTTCCTGCTAATGTGAAAGTATTTATGTCACCACTCTAGCACAGGATGTTTCTAGTAAATATCACTCTATAAATGTGCCTGATTCTTTTTATCTTTCAAGGATCTTTGGTTTCTGCTTATTCTCTCTCCTGCCCCACCCCCAACAGCCATCCCTCTCCTCTCAGCCATCCCTCTTTAAGTCTTTTCTCTCTCTCACTTCCTCCTTCCCTGCCTCCCCCACCCACCACCACCACACATACATTCACAGATACACACACTGGGCACACACACACAAGTAGGGGAGAAAGGAGCTTCTTAGCAAGAAATTTGTATCTGACAATTTAGAAACTGGGTACTATACTTTCATTGCTGAGAAGTACTAAAAGAACCACTTAAGCTTTTGTTGACATTTGTTACTGCAATTATATTTAAAGTATTTGTAATTTTTAGTAGAGACGGGGTTTCACCATTTTGGCCAGGCTGGTCTTGAACTCCAGACCTTGTGATCCACCCGCCTCAGCCTCCCAAAGTGCTGGGATTACAGGCATGAGCCCTGGCTGAAACAGAAACTTTAACATTAAAGGTGCTTTATCTCATAAGATAAAAACACCATTTTAAAATGTGATCATCTATGGAAGCATATATTTTTAATGTGAAACTAATAATTTACAGTGATGGGATTCTAATGAAAGACTGTCTTTCAAGACATATATATATATGTTTATTTAAATCTTCCAAATAAACATATATATATATGTTTATTATATATGTTTATTTAAATCTTGAGTTGCCTACATCTAAATCAAGTGCATTGAGTTAACATGGATATTATATTTTTTAAATCAAAATGTTTTTATTATCAATCTATTATACAGTAACTCTTTTCTTTTTCCATACTAAATATTAGTTGCAAAATGAACGGGAAAATGATCCAACTCATATACCATTAAGGGAAGAAGTATCTACATGGAATAGTAGAATTTTGAAGAGGACGGCTATTACAGTATGCGGATTCGGTTTTCTTTTTTTCATTTGCAAGATAACTTTCCAGAGAAAATAATTCAAATATTTGTTTTAAGTTATATATATACATCTTATTTGAACCATCCAAAAATCGTTGCTTTTAACTATTTGGCACAATATAACCTTACATTCTTGCCAGTATTCCATAGGAAACATTTTGACAATGTAATGTAATTTTTTTTTTTAGTTACTCTGACTTACAAATACAGTTTGTTATATTTTATGTTCACTTTGATCAGATAGTAAATTATAAGTAATACTTTCATTTGATCATATGTAAATCACATTCAGAATTAAAGTTATATTTAATATCTTTGACTTTTTAAAAGTGTGCTTATTTGTCATAGTGTCTTAGAGAATTAGTAAAGTGTTCACTAATTAAGAGCTTTCTTTTATTCCTTACTTTCCCCATTCATTATTATGTAATAAAGATTTTTATTGGAGTTTTTTGTTACATTATGAGGAAATTATTAATTTTGAAAGTATCTAAGAGAATACAAAGGATAAAGGTAAAATGTTAAAATTTTGAATTGTGGATTAAATCCTTAGGAAAAGTATTTTAAATACAAATTAGAACAGCAAAAAATTAGACACTAGTGTTGAAAGTACAAAGTACATTAGAATCTTTTATGTTAATTACTTTGAGGAACATACATACTATATAACATTCTTAGGAATGTTTGACATCTTATTTGACATCTTATTTATCATATCTAAAAAAGTAAGATTTACAAAATCAAACTGATGATATTCAGATTTTTAAAGTGAAGTTAATAAAGAGGCCCAATTTCACAGAATATAGTATTTAAATCTTGCCTGACTTAGTGCCATACTTAAAACAGATGCAGTTGATCTGCACTTGTTTGAGAAATAAACAAAGCAAAGATAAAGAATTGTGGAAAGGAAGAACATTACAAGGAGCTATAATTAGTAGCAGTTTCTGTTCTTGCTTATAGCAAAACGACAAGATTTGAATCGTGCTTTTCCTGAGAATATGCTCAACCAGCTATCATTGGAAAGTAATCACATTATGAATTGGTGCCTGACATTTTAACCTAACTGCGAAATAGCAAGGCATATTTTTTTCTGGTATTTCCTCATTTAAATGAGTCTTAGAAGTTCTAAAGGAACTTCTTTTAACACACGATGTTTCACTCCCAGCACAGTGCTTGGGTAAATAGAAATTATTGAATAAATCTTAGTTTTAGCTTCTGTTAAAAAAATAAAAATCACTCTAGGAAAATGACAGACATACTATCAGATTACCTATTTATTGATGGTCTTTTTCACCTCAGTTCATCTTTAAGATAATGATGTTTCTTCTGTTGGCTGGATAGGTCACTATTTTTTTTTTTCTGACAAAATCAAAACATCTTGCAAATATTAGGACAAACTGTGAAGATGTGAATTTATAAAATGTTTGCTTTCCAAAAGAATTTGTCACAGAATTCCATAAATGGTGACTTTTTTCTTTCCTTGACAAATACAGTGTGATTTTTAGATTACAGACTGAGAATAATTGTAGCAGCATTGTTGTGATTAGTGAAGTTAGTTCTACGAGCAAAGTATCAATAGAATGAATATTATTTTTCTTGTAACTTAAAATTGGTTATTTTATCTAGAGCGTAAATCTCTTCCTACTCGGATTATTTCACCTGATCACAGTGCTTTATTGCAGGAAAGGGGGCATTTATTGCTTCTGGAATATCCATTCTTTTATAACATGTAATTCAGTATAAATCATTTTTCTTCTCTTCTTCAAACAAGAAGAGAAGAGGACTTAAAGTAAGTCTCCCTTAGAGACTTCCCTGAACCACAGATACGAATGTTTTCCACCAAGTTTTAATTCTATGCACTTGAAAGTAGTAAACCTTAATTAAAATTAGTTGGTATATTATTTTTAATTAATCTGAATTAGAAAATGTTCCTATATCTTTAGAACCAACTTAGGAACAAAAATAATCTATTTTGGGGATGTAAGTATCTTTCAAAGAGAAACATGCTTACTTGTCCCATCTTGCCACTATCTTTAAGTGGTATGTTTAGTGCTCTTTGGAAATCTCCTTACATTTCTCTGATACATTTATTACATTTCTCTGATATATTCAGTAATCTTTTTATCAGAGAACTGTTTTGCACTCCTCTTTCCTCAAACTTCTGAGACCTTCCCACCTCACTCTTAAAATGGTGGTCATGCTTCTTATTTCCCTGGGAAATAGAATCAGTTTTTAAAAAGAACTTGCATACTGGGTTTCCTCTAGTTAAGAGGTCAGCAAACATTGTTTTTGTAAAGGTCCAGATAATAAATATTTTAGACTTTGCAGGACATGTGGTCTGTGTCACAGTTTCTTAACTCTGCTGTTGTAGCACAAAAGCAGTTATAGACAGTACATAAGTGAATGAATGTAGCCAGGTACAGCAGAACTTTATTTATAAAAACAGGTGATGCCTGGATTTGGCCCACCAAGCTATAGTTTACAGACCTATGTCTAATGTCACAGGGTTACAAATGTGAGTTATTTTTTATTTTTATATATTCTCTTTTAATCCTTATATTCTAGACAGAGATTTATCCATTTTCTTAATATTTTTCAAAGAATCAGCTTTTGAGTTTGTCGGTCAACTACATTTTAATTAATTTTCACTTTTATTATTTCCTGTCTTAATTGTTTGGGTTCTTTTTTTTTAACTCAGTTATGTTAAACACACTTGAAATATTTTTTGCGTTCTGAGAAAAGAATTAAAAGTCATATATTCTACATACTGTAATTTCATAATTCATTTTAAAATTATTTTTCCCTATTGTGTTATTACAGTAGCGTATGTATTGACATTTCCCTAGTGTGTTATTACAGTATCTATGTACTGACATTTATTTCATAAATTATTTTTTCCAAATTGCTTTTGGGAAAAAAACACACTGTGACTTCAAACTTACATGTCTGCAACTTTTCTCTTTTGAAAAAAGAAGTATTGCTCAAAAATAAACTGATTATACTGTAAATAACTATTATGGTTTCTTAGGTTCAGGACAGAGATGGACAGATTGCCACTTGAATGCCTAATATATGGCAAGCATTTCATAAATGTTACATTTAATTCATAGGCCAGGTCCATGAGATGTATATTCCTATTTTACGGAAAATGAGTTTCAGAGACTGTTGAAGTAAATTGTTGAAATTCACACTGCTAATAAGAAATCTGGGATTTTAATCCAATCAGTTTAACTTCAAATCCCGTGTTCTTTCCAGCACTCATCCATGCATTCATTCATTCATTCAAATATTTACTGAGCACTTATCATGTACCAGGCATTTTTCTAGATGTTGAGAAATAAATTATCCCTGCCCTCATGGAACTTACATTCTAATGGAAATAAACCAACAGATAAAGCATAAGATAATAGATGTGATAAATGCTATGAAGACAAAACAGGGAAGTAGGAGGTGCAGGGTAGAAGTAGGACTTTGAGTGGTCAGGGAAGACCTCTCAAACTTCAGATCTTTTGAGAACATAAAGGATTAGAGAGTAAGCCATACAGATATCTAGGGAGAAACTATTCCAGATCAAAAACTATGAAGCAAAAATATCACTGCACCAAGAGACCATTTTTAAATGGACTAGAGGCACCGCTGTGGATACTATGAGACTAGTTGGGAGGCTGCTGCGATATTCCAGATGCAAGGTGATGGTAGCTTGAGTTAACATTGGAAACAGTGAAAGTAGTTGAGCTCAAGACACATTTTTAAGATATAACCAGTAGGATTTACTTACAGATTGAATGTGAGTTTTAAGTGAAAAGCAATAGTCAAAGATAACTTCAAGTTTTTTGGCTTGAGCAAGCAAAAGAATGGAGTTGCCATTTACTGAAATAAGGAAGTCTCTGAGAAGACAAAAACAGGAGAGATGAAAAGGGAGTAATTTACAATAAACAGAACATTTGAGTCAGAAATTCAGAGGGGAGAGACACAGGCAGAAGATAAAAATTTGGATGTTGTCACTTTAGAGATAAGAAGACTCCACTGGATCTCTAAGGGAATGATGTAGACAAATAAGGCAACTAAGTCCTAGGGCACCACCGTTAAAAGAAAAGGAGACAGGAAGAATCAGGAAAGGAGATTAAAAGAGTGGGCAATAAGGCTAGGTAAGAGCACGAATCAGCATCCATCAACCCATGGGCCAAATGTGGCCCAGAGGATGGTCAACAGCATAGTCAGTAGGGAAATGTAAATTAAAACCACCATGAAATTCAACACCGTTACACACTCATCAAAAAGACAAATTTAAAAAGAATGACACCAAGTGTAGTAAAGTACTTGAAACTCATATATCACTACTTTAAACCACAGAGTGGAAAAACCATTTTGGAAAAATCGTTTGGCAGTATCTACTAAAACTAAACATGTTTTCCTGATGACCCAGCAGTTCTGAATATATGCCCTAGAGAAATGAGTTCATGCTTCCCCAGAAAGATGTATATAGGGGATGTTCACAGTAGGTTTATTAATAGCCCACAACTGCAGCAGATAAAAGAATAGTTGAGCAATGGAATACTGCATAGTAATAAAAAAGAACAAACTATGACTACACATAAAAACATGGACAAATCAAACAGACATAATATTGAGCAAAAGAAGCCAAACACAAGATTTTGTACATACCATATTATGATTTTATACATAAGTTTGAAATAGAGAAAACTTATTTATGGCAAAACTTAAGAAGTGATGGTAGTGGCTGTGTCTGAGAAGTAGGTATGGACTGGGAAAAGAAGCAAGGATACTGGAAATATTTTATCTTGATCTGACCAGAAGTTGCTTAGATATGTACATAAAATTTCAATGATATGCATAATTTCAAGCCCAAAATCCCAAGACTTCAAGAGGTAAAAAAATTGACATATTGACAGAAGCAGATTATGAAAAATAGAACTATAAAATACCTACTCTACAACCTAAGTTTGAAAACAAGTTCAAATATAGACATTATTTTTTAAAACTGCTAAATTTAAAGAGAAGAGAGTTTTAAAATCTGGTATTAAGATAGTTTTCCTAGATATTTTACTTAAGATAGTAAATTTGGAATTAGAAGAGCATTAATATGAGCAACTTTGTCACATTTTTGGTAAAGAGCAAACACAAGGTTGTAAAGTATAAGAATAAGGTATACTTTATAAAGATTTGCAAATTAAAATATTTAAAATTAGTAAATGCAGTCATGCATCACTTAAAGACAGGGATGCATTCTGAGAATGCATTGTTAAGCAATCCTGTCGCTGTGCAAATATCATAGAGTGTACTTAAACCTAGAGGTATAGCCTACTACACATCTAGGCTATACAATGCTCCTAGGCTACCCTGTACAGCATGTTACTGTACTGAATATTTGGGGCAAGTAAGAC